ATTCAAGGTGCTGGTTTTTACCTTTAAAACCATAAATGGTTCAGGTCCTACTTACCTATCTGACTGCATCCCCTCACACTAACCTGCCAGAATGTTAAGATCTTCTAGCAAGGCCCTCCTCTCATTGTCACCACCATCACAAATGCGATTGGAGGAGACATGAGAGAGGGCCTTCTCTGTGGCCACTCCAACTATTTGGAACCCCCTCCCCAAGGAGGTTAAAACAGACCCTTCCCTGACATCTTTTAAAAAGCAGCTAAAGACCTTCCTGTTTACACAAGCTTTTAATGAAGACACTCAGCTGTAATGACAGGAAGGCTAACTTTTATTGAGTCGTGCTAATGTTTACCATCTGTCTTGTGGGGTTGCCTGCAGTAATTTTATTAGACAGATGTTTTTGAATGCGTTTATTTATTTCTTATTGTAAATTTGTTTTATAGGTTATTGTTTTACATATGCATATTGTTTTGTATTGTCTTTTATATTATGTTGTAAGCTGCTTTGGAGAAAAGTGGGATATAAATAAAAAATATTATTATAACGGGAAAGGGAGTATAAAACATTCATTTCGGCCCAAAATTCTCAATAACAAATTGGCAACTTCCAAAGATCTTAGAAATCAAAGACAAAAGCAAATTCGACCCAAAATTCTAAATAGGACATTGACAACTCCAAAAATTAATGTTACTATTCGGCCCGAAATTAATAATGATAATTTGACAACCCCAAAACTCACTCCTGACAATATACAACTGAGGTGCCAGGATGGTGGCCCCTCCAAGCTAAAGGTGGTGCTGTTCAATGCCAGGTCGGTAAATGGAAAATCTTCTATCATTCAAGATCTAATCCAAGAAGAACGAGCCGACCTGGCTTGTATAACGGAGACCTGGTTGGACGAGGGGGGAGGGGTCAATCTCTCCCAACTCTGTCCACCAGGTTATTCCGTTCAGCACCAACCAAGGCTTGGAGGGTGGGGAGGCGGAGTCGCAGTGGTCTATAAGGACTTTATTCCACTGATCAGGTGTCCCATCCCACAATCATCTTCCTTAGAATGTGCCGGCTTTAGGATAGGTGACCGGGACAGGGTAGGGATTCTGTTAGTGTACCGACCACCCCGCTGCACTACAGTCTCCCTACCTGAGCTAGCGGGAGTGGTCT